TTCTGTGAGTAGAAATTATGTAAGTTGAAGTACTGCTTTCTAATCAAGTTCATAATATCACTATTTTTAGTAGAATAACCACACATATAAAATTTAATCAACTATACATAATATGCCTTTACCTATACCATTAAGTAACAAATCATTCGTGGACTTAGTTTAATATAGAATGCAGTAGTTGTTGTCTTACTGTTCTTATCTTACTTGAAGAGCTTTCCTCTATAACAACAGGCAGAAAACAGGCAATTCTGAAAAGCATTTTTGAAGAAATGTTGAGTGGTGCTTTTGGACAGCAGTAGAAAGCATGTGATTTTTGCAACAAAAGTAATCTGGCTAGGTAGATTTCATGTGAACTTGGGTAAATCACAGAACCTTTTGGAAATAAGTTTCATTTGTCAAATGAGGATGAGGTTATATTTGCTATGAAAAATTAATTAAGTGCAAAGCATGCTCAAACTGTTGAGCCCTGGTTCTTTCTTATCCAACTAGGTTAGGTGTCTCTCTGTGCCCTTCCTCAATACCCTCTAACCACTGCCCTGCAACCTTCAATTCATTGGTCAGTGTTCTGATTATCTGGTCACATGTTCCTTGAGGGTAAGGGCTGTAAATTTTTTTTCTCCATCATATTTTCAGGACTTATCCACATTAACCTAGGCCAAATTAGACTCTCAGCAAATATCATTCAAGGTTGGCTCACTTCTCTGAATTTTTATATTGTGTATTGTACAGTATAGATTTATACATTTTCACTGTCACAGAAACTTCTGTTATTACTGCTCTAGATGTAGTAACAAAACATAGTTTTTGTTTTTTTTTTTTTTGAGTTGGAGTCTCACTGTCGCCCAGACTGGAGTGCAGTAGCTGCTCCCGGCCACCGCAGCCTCGACCTGCTGGGCTCTGCAATCCTTCCGCCTCAGCCTTCTAAGTAGCTGGAACTGCAGGCGCACGTTACCATGTCCGGCTAACTTTTTAAAAAAAATTTATTGTAGAGATGAGGTCTCGCCTGCCCAGGCAGGTCTCAAACCCGCAGGCTCAGGCAATCCACTCACCTTAGCCTCCCAAAGGTGCAGGATTACAGGCTGAGGCACTGAGCCCAGCTAAAACATAGTTTTGAACAAAGAAATAATTTTTACAGTAGTATCACATGTTCTTTGGTTTAAATATGTGATAGTTATCTTCTGGGAATGCTGCACACTTATCTAAAATACAAGTAGAAGCCGGGCTCGGTGGCTCAGCCTGTAATCCCTCGCCTAGGGAGGCTGAGGTGAGTGGACTGCCTGAGTCTGCGGGTTCGGGACCCGCCTGGGCAACTTGGCGAGACCTCATCTCTACAATAAATCAAAAATTAGCCGGGTGTGGTAGCGCACGCCTGTAGTTCCAGCTACTTGGAAGGCTGAGGCAGAAGGATTGCCGGAGCCCTGCGTGTCGAGGCTGCGGTGGCCAGGAGCAGCCACTGCACTCCAGTCAGGGCGACTGAGTGAGACTCCAACTCAAAAAAAAAATCAAATAAAATACAAGTACAAAATATGCAAATCCTACCTGTTTACTATAAGAATCAATAAACCTTTATATTTTTGGTGAGTGGTAGAGGGACTTTTTAGGTTTGTAAAGGATAATATGACCGAGATCTTCTAGAACAAGTTGAACTGTAGTGCAAACCTCCTAGTAAATATGTGTTGAAGGAGTTACAACTAATTTCCTAAAAACTTTGCTTGTATATAATTTTATATCAAAGAGAGTGCTGGCCTAAAGCTTGGAGGTTTTTTCTTTTCTTCTTTTTTTTTTTTAATAACAATCTTGAGGAGGACTGTGTGGTTGCCAAAGTGAGAGGTGCAAAGATGGCGGTAACCCAGTCAGGGGAAAAAAGAAAAAAAAGAAAATATCAGTATGAACTCCTGGTTCTAGTCTCTGAAAGGCCTGTATATTAACCTATGAGTTCATAATGAATATACTTTGGGAGCTCCAAGGTAATCAAATTACTATCCTGAAAACTGTTTTTTCTTTTACGTGAGACAGCAGGATTTACTGAGGACAGAAAAGCTCCCACAGTGGGAGGGAACCCAAAGGGGTTCCCCTGAAAACTGGTTTGAAAAAAAAGCAATTTTAGAAATTAAACCAACACACCACATGAGGATAACCAAAACCGACCACAGGCTATTTTATAAACAGAAGAGGTGCCACATGCTGCTGCACATACGAACACACCTCTGTAGCACCCGGAGAAGCTTCCTGCTTTTGATGGGGTACTTCTTCTGAAGGTTGAGAAACGCCACGTGCGTCCCCTTATCCATGAGGCTACTAAACGCAGTGTGATTTTCAGGCAGCTGAAGCAGGGAGCGCCAAATGAACATTCTGAAATGAAAACGGAATTGTGAGCAAAACAGTTTTTGAGCAAAGCTGCTTTGATACAAAAAATTTAAATTTTACCTGTATTTTGTTGGATATTCACCATAGCCTTTTAGTAAGATTTGCAAACGCTTTTTGTTGAGTCCCTCTGGCAAGTCATTCTATAAAGAGAAAGATACTATCACTAAGTGACGTAGCCATTAAAACTGAAAAGAAGACAAACGGTGATGGAGTCCACAGTGGCCTCCCCACTCCGGAACACAACACACAGTAAGAGACTTTTGCATCCAGGTCGCTCCTCACTCCCTCTCCCTCCCCCGAGTGGAGTGTGCATACTCATATGGAATAAAGTTCATGACATGTCACCTTCCCTAGACCAGAGAATGGCACACGTTTTCTGTAAAGGGCCAGTTAGTATATATTTTAGGCTTTGTGGGTCAAGAGGAAGAATAGGGACTATTATGAGTTTATAGAAACATTTAAAATTTAATGATTTAAAAACGTAAAAACCGAACTTCCTGAGTTGAGGTGATCCTTCTGCTTCAACCTCCTTGGTAGCGGGCTACAGGCGCATCTCATTATGCCCAGCTAATTTTTTTATTTTCTGTAGAGGCAAGGTCTTGCTATGTTGCTCAGGCTGTTCTCAAACCCCTAGGTTCAAGTAACCCTCTTGTCTCAGCCTCCCAAAGTGCTGAGATTACAGGCATAAAGCCTTTTCTCTTAGCTACACTTTTAAAGACTCATTTTTCCTTTCTAATCTAATCGTGTACCTGCTTGAGATCCCAGAGGCTGACCTTGCAAAAGCACCATCCGGGGACCCCACAGTAGAGTCTCCACTGCTCACACTTAGGACAATGTCGGCCACCCTCCAGGTAGATGACTAGAGATAGCCATTGGGACAAGCTCAGCTCCCCGTACTCTCCCAGACAGTCCTCATGCCATTGCTTCCCCTTAAGGTCCCATTTTCAGTAAAAAATTGTGAAATGGTTTCTTCGAGGCATAAGCCTGGTCATTTCCTTATCTGCTGGCTTTTGGAATGAAGTCCCCTTGTTTGTACTGTGTTGCATGCTTGTTTATTTCAGCCTGCAAGCAACAAGTAGCATAACCTGCGATCTAGTGACATTCCCAAGTGTGCTGGGCATCCAGACATGAGCCACCATACCTGGCCTGAGCTCTGTATTTTATTTTATTTTATTTTTTTTGCGTTGGAGTCTCACTCTGTCGCCCAGACTGGAGTGCAGTGGCCGCTCCTGGCCACCACAGCCTCGGCCTGCTGGGCTCCGGCGATCCTTCTGCCTCAGCCTTCCGAGTAGCCGGAATTACAGGCATACACCACCACGCCCGGCTGATTTTTTGATTTATTGTAGAGATGAGGTCTCGCTGCCCAGGCGGATCTCGAACCCGCAGGCTCAGGCAATTCTCACCTCAGCCTCCCAAAGGCGCAGGATTACAGGCTGAGCCACCGAGCCCGGCAGAGCTCTGCATTTTAAAGAGTCATCCGTATTGCCATGTTACATTCACTGCTATGCGGCACAGTAATCCACATTGTGCATCTACCATATTTGCTAACAACCATCCCCCAAAGGGACACCCTGATTGTCTCCAAGTTATACCATGGAACTTGTTTTCTGTATTCATTATGGTCACAAATATATTTCAAAAACAAAAAACAAACAAACAAAAAAACGTAAAAACCATCCTCAGCTTGAGAGCCAAACGGGGCCCACGGCTGCTGTGGGCTGACCTCTGCAACATGATCCAGGAAGACGGCCGTCAGTACCACGACACCCACTGCCAGTGAAGCCATATGCCGGCTTCTGCATTAGGAGCATTTGGAGAGTCTCTCTCTCATCTCTCTTCCTTTTCCTTAAAATCTGGACTACTCTCGGCATGAAAGCACCAGGAACAAGCCTGGCTCACCACTTTATCCTATGAGACACCGAAAGATAAAAGCTTTTGCTGATAGGCCCTTGTATCCCTAAGCTTTAAGTTAATTTTCACCTTCATGAATAAATAAAATCTGATAGGCTTTAGGACTACAAAGCTGTTTTCACAAATTATCTTATTTGAATCTAACAACTGTATGAAACAGATGGGATGCTTTTATTTGAGAAAATGAGACAGTCAAAGAAGTTCTGCGAATTGCTCATGGTCACAGATCTGCTGAGTATGGGTCAGGACGCAAAACCAGATGTTCTGGTTTAGTCTATTACTCTTTTACCATAAGAAGAAATGTAAGAGATTGGTGGTGAGTGAAGACTCCCACAGGAGAGTCACGTACTAGTCCACAGAGGACTAGTCCACACTAGACCAGTATGATCCAGGAAGGTTGCTGTCACCACCACGATACTAGCTGCTAGTGAAGTTGTTTTTGGTTTGTTTGTTTTTGAGACGGAGTCTCACTCTGTTGCCCAGGCTGGAGTGCAGGGGCACGTTCATGGTCACCACAGCCTCAACCTGCTGGGCTCAGGCAATCCTTCTGCCTCAGCCTTCCAAGTAGCTGGAACCACAGGTGCTAATATAGCCACCACATCTGGCTTTTATTTATTATAGAGATGAAGTCTCGCCAAGTTGCCCAGGCTATTCTCGAACCCCTGGGCTCAGGCAATCCTCCCGCCTTGGCCTCCCAAAGTGCTGGGATTACAACCGTGAGTCACTGTGCCCAGTGTAAAGCTGTTTTTTAAACAAAGGATAAGAAGCCCCACTAAGCTTGGCCTGAATTGTATCTGTTCTTGTCTTGACCATAAGCAGGTCAAGTTCCCACGTGCTTTTCTGTGTCCTGATGCTATGGTCAGCTGACGAGTACATCTTGCCCCATAGAGATCTTCTGCTTTGACCCACAAGTTAAAGCGGGCTCTGGTCTCTTCAGCAGCAGGCCTTCTGCAGGTATCCAGATGCAGGGCGGTGCTGTCTGACACCCTGGCATGGTGAGCCTCTGACTCTCGGAAGTCATTCACCACCAGTCCCGCCAGTCTCCCAGAAGAGGCTCCCGTGAACTCCCAGAACAGCTGACGCCAGACAGCGTCTCAGAGACAGCGATCGCGCAGCGTGTCTCTGTGTTAAAGCCTTTGCCAAGTCGGAGCAACATCGCCCAATCTCTACACAACTAGGTTTGCGCCTGCTGTTCAGTTTTTAAAACAAAATACTACTTTGCTCAGGGTGTCATGCAGAGGCTGCAAAGCTACGAAGAAAGTCAAGGACGCAGCCACCACACAGGCAAGGCCCAGGGCTCCTCCGACAGGCCAGGGACAGAGCGCAACCGGAGAGGGGCACTGCGCAGCTCAGGACGGTGTCACGTCTCCTCTGTGCAGAGGAGAGCTGGTGTGGCCGTGTGACCTCTCCCCTCGGAAGGCCCACCTGCAAGGGTGGCCCCTGGCTGGTGTCGACAAGCTGGATGTAGGAGCATCCCCACCCCCCCAGAACCCATTAGGAATGGCTCCCTGTGGTAACTGCACAGTGTAGCTTAGGGTGAACGTCTGCTTTCCTTCAAGGGGTCTGGAATTTGAACTGTGTTAAGCAGGTGCCTCGAGAGCCAGCCTCTAGCAAACACCCCCCCCACCCCCCGCACCAGGTCTCTAAGAAATCGCCTTTGGATTACATTTCACACGTGTTGCCACAGGCACCAAGTATATCCTGTGGTTCTAGTGGGAAGAGATTGCCAGAAGCTTGCACCTGGCTCCCTCCCGACTCCACCCCAAGTGCTTGCTCCTTCTGGGAATCTTGCCTTGTGTCCTCTCACTATAATACACTGTGGCCACGAACATGACCACACGCTGAGTCCTAATGAATCAACAAACCAGAGGATGGCCGTAAAGATACCTAAGACAGGCTACATATATGATCTTCTCATTATTATTCATTAAGCTGGAATCCGTGTATGTAAATTTCACAATTTAAAAATGCTTAGGGCCAGGTGCGGTGGCTCATGTCTATAAGCCCAGCATTTTGGGAAGCTGAGGAGGGAGGACTGCCTGAGCTCAGATGTTTGAAGCTAGCCAGAGCAACAAAGTGAGACTTCATCTCCAAAAATAATAACAATTGTGGGGAGGGGGAAAAAATAATAACAATTTTTAAAAAGCCTGGTGTGGTGGTATGCTCCTATAGTCCCAGCTACTCAGGAGGCTGAGGTGGAATGATTGCCTGAGCCTTGGGGTTCAGGCTGTGATAAACTGTGATCATTGCCACTGTATTCCAGCCTGGGTGATAGAGTGAGACCCTCTTCCCAGCACACACATACACACACACACACACAATAATAACAACTCATAAATTAGGCATACTACAGCTGGGCTCGGTGGCTCAGCCTGTAATCCTGCGCTTTGGGAGGCTAAGGTGAGTGGATTGCCTGAGCCCGCGGGTTCGAGACCTGCCTGGGCAACTTGGCGAGACCTCATTTCTACAATAAATCAAAAATCAGCCGGGCGTGGTAGCACGCGCCTATAGTTCCAGCTACCTGGAAGGCTGAGATGGAAGGATCACCAGAGCCCAGCAGGTCGAGTCTGCGGTGGCCGGGAGAGGCCACTGCACTCCCGTCGGAGTGACAGAGGCAGACTCCAACTCAATAAATAAATAAATAAATAAATAAATAAATAAATAAATAAATAAATAAATGAGGCATACTAAGAGATTAACAACAACAATAGGTTCGCGACCTGCCTGGGCAGCGAGACCTCATCTCTATAATAAACCAAAAAATCAGCCGGGCGTGGTAGCGCATGCCTGTAATTCTGGCTACTCGGAAGCCTGAAGCGGGAGAATAGCCGGAGTCCAGCAGGTCGAGGCTGTAGTGGCCAGGAGCGGCCACTGCACTCCACTCTGGGCGACAGAGTGAGACTCCAACTCAAAAAAACAACAATAATAAAATAGGCAGGGCATGGTGGACCATGCCTGTAATCCTAGCACTTTGGGAGGCTGAGGTGGGAGTATCGCTTGAGCTCAGGAATTCGAGAGCAGCCTCAACAACTAGTGACACTTCATCTCTACAAAAAATAAAAAAATAAACTGGGTATGGTGGTACACGCCTATAGTCCCAGCTACTCGGGTGAAGGGATCATCTGAGATCAGGAGGTTGAGGCTGCGGTGAGCCATGATTGTGCCATTGCACTTCAGCTTGGGTGACAGAATAAGATCCTGATTCAAATAATAATAACAACAATAAAATAGAACAATTACAAAAATATGCCAGCATGACTACTCTTGAGCTTTGGAGACGTTAAGTAAAACAGGGTTACTTGAACGCCAGCACTGTGACACTGCGGCAGTTGACCTGATGACCAAGGTGCCTGTAAGTGACCAGCTGAACCAAAGGACAGCTCATTTCCCAGGTGGAACGGAGCAGGAAGCCATGACATTTCATCACACTTCTCAGAGCAGTGTGCAATTTAAAACTTATGCATTGCTTATTTCTGAAATTTTCCATTTAATATTTTTGGACCGTGGTTGACTGTGACTAACTAAAACTGCAGAAAAACAAATTGCAAATTAGGAAGAACTAATGCACAAAAATCAGCATCAAAAATACCAGGTGTTGGTGAGACTGTAGAGCAATTAGAATTCCCAAATACTGCTGGTGGGAACGTAAATTGGTTTCAATCAACCACTTGGAAAAATGGCCAGTACCTCCAAGCTGATGTGCAGTGTGTCAGGAGAGTAGTTATCCTTGAGGTGAGGGAGAGTGTCTGGAAGGCAGCAGGAGGGGGCCAGCAACATGCTATTTGAATTTGGGAGCCGGTAACATGGATGAGCTCAGTGTACGAAAAATAATTGAGGTGCATACTTTTGTGCATACACTTGTCATCAAAAAGTCTAAAACTTTCTTAAAAATAATGTCAGTAACTTCTTTGCTAATAGTTATGTTTTCTTCCTATTCGAATAGTATTAGGTGCTTTGTAGAAAATTTGAAAAATACAACAAAGTATTTAAAGAAGGAAATAAAGCTTCCCGAAGGCCCTTCCTGCAGAGGGAATTCTGCTGTTAGTATCTTGTTGGCCTCCAGGGAGGGTGATGACGAGAGGGGAGGATCAGAGGGAGGAAGGGCTGGCTTCTACTTTTCTCCCTTTATAGCCTTCTACACTAGCAGTGTCTAACGGAAGTACACCACAAGCCACAAATGTAATTCAAAATTTTCTAAGAGCTACATTAAAAAGTTAAAAAAACCAGGTAAAATTAAGTCTAAAAATATATTTAACCCAACATAATCAAAATATTATTTCAACATATAATCAATATAAAAATTATTATTTACATTCTTTTGTTCATACGAAGTTTTCCTCCTAAGCGTGTATTTCACACTAACAATTCACCTCAACTCAGACTGGCCACGCCTCATGAGCTCTCCGAGGGCCAGAGACTAAGTGTTGAACAGTACAATTCTATACTATGTAACTTCATATGAAATCACAAACATGCATTACATTTATATTAAAAAGTTTAAAAAGCATGTTGTAATTACAGTTACAACTGCATTCTTTTCCTATAATACTCCTTTAATTCCCAAGGGTGGAAAGAATGGCAATGGCTTAGAAATCACAAGACTTGCCGACCACGGAGTCATGACAAGCAAAGCGCTAATGATCAGGTATTCTCACCTCTTCACTTTCAATGTTTCCGACCAGGTTTTGCTTTAATATTCTAGTTTGCATTTTGCTTTCCCTGGATTTTGCCGGTTGCTGTACTCTTCCCGTCACCACTTTCATCTTAAGGTCACCAGAACTCGGTTTATTCTTGGGCAAATCTTCAATCACTTTCACCAAAGGAGGAGGTGGCTAAAAGGAAAAGTAAGTATATGCACATTCCAAGGGATATTTTGGAAAACAAGACAGCTAATATATTATTTTCAAAATTTGCTTTACTTTAAATAACATGCCTTAATATGCAGAATTGTTCAGGCAAAAAATTTAAGTAAAATATCCAAAAATGTTTTATTGTTGACTAATAAAGCAAATTGCCAAATTCCTTTGAAAAACATAATAAAGATATACAATTAACAGTAAAAAGTAAAATTTAAATATTCCTTGAAAGCTAGCCTTAAATCATATCATGCCAAACTGTTTTTACACTTACATGATAAAGTTAGTATGGTGATTATCTACAGCAGAGAAGGCACATACCTCTAAGGTATGGCCCTCTCATATTCTTCAGGCTCAAGGAAATTTCTTGAGTGAGAGGAAACTGCCAAATAAATGACTTTTTTCTAGAAGTATGGAACCTCTGACTCTGTCACCTGGTTAAATGTTTTCATCTGCACAGTGACAGCTATTAGTTCCAAACTGCATCAACAGCTTAAGCATTCAGACAGCACAACGAAGAATCTAAACTCTTATTTTTATGGGGATTATCAAGCAGGGGGAAAAATTCCTAACAATTCCAATTTACTTAAATTAAAATGACTCACTAGAAACAATATTCTCTTTGAAAATAAAGATCCTCCTAATTCCAATGAAATTCACAGACAAGGTAACTCAGACTTTCTGGGTTCTAGATACAATAAAAGCACAATGACAACTTATAGTTTAAGATTCAGCCGGGTTCAGTGGCTCAGCCTGTAATCCCGCACCTTTGGGGGCTGAGGTGAGTGGATTGCCTGAGCCCGCGGGTTCAAGACCCGCCTGGGCAGCGAGACCTCATCTCTACAATAAATCAAAAAATCAGTCGGGCATGGTAGCGCATGCCTGTAATTCCGGCTACTCGGAAGGCTGAGGCGGAAGGATCGCCGGAGCCCAGCAGGTCGAGGCTGCGGTGGCCGGGAACGGCCACTGCACTCCAGTCTGGGTGACAGAGTGAGACTCCAACTCAAAAAAAAAAAAAAAAAAAAGATTCAAGGCCAGGCATGGTGGCTCACCTGTAATCCCAGCACTTTGGGAGGCAGCGGTGATAGGACTGCCTGAGCCCAGGGCTTCGAGATCAGCCTGGGCAACATGGTCAGATCTCATCTCTACAATAAATAAAAAAATTAGCCAGGTATGGTGGCGTGTGCCTGTAGTCCCAACTAACTGGAAGGTTGAGGTGAAAGGATCACCAAGCCTAGCAGGCTGAGGCTGTGGTGGCCGTGAAATGTGCTACTGCACTCCAGCCTGGGCGACAGAGTGAGATTCAAAAAAAAAAATATATATATAGAGAGAGAGAGAGAAAGAGAGAGAGAGAGAGAGTTTATAATTCAATTCTTTCATTCATCTATGGGATGGAATTAGTAGTGATCTGACTTCTGAACATCACCCATCTTTGATATCCTTGGACTATTTTCTCTCTGACTTCAATTCATTCTTCTACACTTTTATTAAAATTTCTGTTCCAACGTTCTAACTTCCCTGCTTAAGTTTTATCCTCTACCAGGAAGCATAACCTCCCAGAAGCTGAAGCCTGAGATGCAACCTGATATGACATACCTTTCTGTGTTAAATCTCCAACACATAAGTTTAAGAATTCACTTACTTTATTAGCACAGTACCAGAAATTCTTTAATGACAAGAAAACAAAACTTGGAAAATGGGATACAGGTGAATCAAGATTTATAGAGTACAGAGCTGAACATCTACATAGCCTGGAACAGCCAAGGCACTGGCACTGCTGGCAATATGTCCAAAGGAAAAAGAAGTCATTCAACTTCTCAGCCAGCTTTTCTATTCATGTGATCTCAATTTGCTCAGCAAATAACAGCAGAGAGGAACTCAGTAACTCACTCTCGGTGTGACTTTTCTTAGGTCTAATAATGCCTGTCTCGATGGAGAATGTTTAGCTAGGGCTGTAAGACTGACTAGCTGAAGAGGCTGAAAATTCTGAAAACTCATTAAGAGCAGATGATATATTAATATGTTTGGGGTTTTTTTTGAGTTGGAGTTTCACTCCGTCACCCACACTGGAGTGCAGTGGCCGCTCCCGGCCACCGCAGCCTCGACCTGCTGGGCTCCGACGATCCTTC